CGCCCTCTGCTCGCCCACAACTACGACCAATCTACAAAACAGTGCAATGTCTATTCATAGGCACAATGGGAAACGCACACGGCACGGGGAGGGGGGGGGGCGTTATTCACATTCATACAGCAAGTTGTACACACACAGACGTCAGCAGCAGCTCCGGCCTGGGGGGGGGCAGGACACTCATTCCTCCGGACAGGGGGGCCGTGGAGGAAGGCTTTAGCCGGCCGCCTCTTCTTCCTCCTCCTCCTCATCCTCCTCCTCCTCCTCCTCCCCCCCCCTGGGGGGGCGCCCGGGGCTGGTCCTGACTGCCCGCGCTGGCGGCCAGGATCCTCTGGACAAAGTCTTTGGTCCGTCCGGCGACCAGGGGTCCTGGAGGGGGAGGACGGGACACTGAGTCTCTCTGTGTGTGTTTGTGTGTGTGTGTGTGTGTGTGTGTGAGTGTGTGTTCCTCACCGCTGGACTCTTTGAGGATGTCCTCCAGGCGGCGGGTCATCCCGCGCTGGTCCGGGTCGTCCTCCTCGCCGCTCTCCACCCGCTGCCTGATCACCTCTTTGATCCGCAGCAGCGCCCCCAGCAGGTTGTCTGGGACAAAATAAAAAAAATAAAAATATCAGACGCACGCCCGTTACACAAAATCTTCATCAAAGCAAAGCGAAGCTAACACCAACAGGAAATGAAACCCAATTTCTGACAGTAAAACTCACTAAAAAAAGGCATACAAACCCATCCAACATAGTCATTGCCCTATTGGGAGTAACACCTAAAAATATCGCCACACGGGATGGAAAATATATTTTGATAATATTATTTACAGCGGCTCTAAAATGCATCACTATCAGATGGCTCCCACCTGAGCCTCCCTGCTATAAGATATGGATCCAGAAGGTCTGGGACATATACCAGATGGAATATATAACATACTCCCTGAGATTACAAACACCCATATTCACTAAACGTTGGAGACCTGTCGTTCCACTAATTATGCAATAAGGTTGTTGGGTTTTTTTTGTTTGTTTTTTTCTCACACTCTTGTAATCACCCTGTGTTTGTGTTTGCTTGTTTTTTATGTTTAAAAATGTAAAAATATATATGTACATTCGTACCACACTGTATTATTTCTGAAAAAATAATAAAAATGGTGTTAAAAAAAAAAAGGCATACAAACAGAGAAAACCCACACAGGGAACGGAGGTGTGTGTGTCTCTGTGTGTGTGTGTGTGACGTCCACATGGGCGTGGCTAAGGAGGAAAGTACAGATTGATTGGAGGGTCAGTGATTCAACTCCATGTCCCTCCAGACTACATGTGGAAGATTCCTTTGGGCAAAGGCTTTGAACCCCAAGCTGCCCACCGGTTTCATCTGGTGTCCCCACTGGTGCAACCGGTGTGTGAATGTGTGTGTCAATGTGTGTGTGACCGGCGAATGACGCGTGGTGTGAAACGCTTCCAGTGGTCAGCTAGACTGGAAAACGGCATTTACATGTTGCGCGTCCACTCACGGGATGAGGCGAGTGGACATGGTTGCCCCACTGGACTTTGTCCGACCCAAACACACACACCCACACACACACCCACACACACACGTGCGCACACACCCACACACACACCCACACACACACGTGCGCACACACACACACACACACACACACACACACACACACACACACACACACACACACACACGCGTGGCTGCCGGGGCTGGCGTGCCGCCAACATCCTGCTTGTTTGAAGCCTCTCCTTGGATCGAGTGAGTGTGTAATGCATGTTTTGTGAGGATGTAAATTACAGGGCTGGAACGAGTGAGCGAAGGAGGGGGGAAAAAAAGAGCCGTGGAAGAGAGCAAATGAACACCGAGGTCAGGAGCTGCACGTTTCGGCTTCCTGCTGATGGGACGAAATGTTAAGAGACGACGACAAAAGCCTAAAAAATTTGATGGAGGAGCAGGAGAGGAAACGTCCAGCTTCCTCTGCACTCCGGGCCTCAGCCCACTGACACAGACAGGCACTCCGATTTCTTGGAAACATTAAAAGGTCCTGTACCTCAGGAGGTACAGGACCTTCCAGGTAGCTGTGAGTGGGCAGCTAGCCTCAGTTAGGGACGTCCCGATCCAGTTTTTTACACTTCCGATCTGATCCCAGCCTATCAGAGCACGTATTAAAGTCTAAAGTTATTTATCTACTTACTTAGTTGTCAGACTCATGTTGAACAGGGATTTACTCTGATAACTAGCCAGCTGAATTAGGTGAGTCTGAATAATACACACTGGTTGGTAAAGAGACACTGACCTGTTAATCCACAAAATAGACGTAATTATAAATAACAAACTAAAATGGCATCGGAAAACAGTAAAAAGTGCAAATAATATTGTAAACCGTATTAAAAAGGCAAAAAACACACAAATATCCTGAATAGAAAATAGTCCATTAATTCTGTTTTACATCCAGCTCTTTGTCTTTTTCCTCCTTAAGGATAAAATAATCCCACACAACTGACGTTTTTACCGATAGCTTCATATTAACATGGTCGTCTTAATGGTCAGGACAAAGACCTGTGGGTCAGGGGATGCTAATGCTCTGTGCTTAAGGAAAATGACCGGACCAGATATTTGGGAACAAACACAGCAAAGCGGAATGGATTATTTTAAATTAGACTTTTTAAAAAACATACTGGATCTGGAGTCTGGATTTGCATTTTCTCCTGCCGGCTGATCCGCATTTTTTTTTGCAAATATCGGAGGCTGATCTGATCCAGATATCGGATCACGACGAGCCTAGTGTGTGTGTCCGTAAACAGGACAGCCAGCAGAACACACTCCCTCCGCCCCCCAAACTGTCCCCCAGGCCTGGGCACTCACCGTACTCCTGGTTGAGCCCCCACAGCTTGATCTTGTTGGCTTCGTGCTGGGCTTTCTTTTTCAGCCGGCAGGCCCTGAAAACACAGGAGAACGAGCACAGTCAGGCCGGGCGGGGGGGGGGGGGGTGAAAGGGGCGGCCCGGGTGTGCTGCCTGGGGAAAAACCCACAACGGATCCTTGTCTCGATCTGTTGGCTTTATGAAGCTGGAGCTTTGCTAAAAGGTGGAAATCTGCTCCAACAAGTGGTAAATGGACGTTTGTCTTTTTAAAATCGGGATTGCACGCGGAACCAGAAGCACGTGTACAGACGCTTAAAAAGCCAGTTACATCAGTCAGGTGACTAAAAAATAACACTTTCTGAGACCTGAGCTGAGCTTCTAAGTGTTTATGTGAGTTTCTTAGTTTGGTACGTATGGTGTTCGTAGCTCAGCGACCACCAAAATTCAGCCATTTTTTGTCTGTTTTTCACAAAAAGACGCAGAGAGTCAGGAACTGGATCCGGAAAGCCGGACAGCGTTTACGTTTGCTTATTTCCTCCTGCTTTTCTAGTGCCAACTTTCCATCAGGTGGTGCGTTCGTGTGCCATGGAATAAAAGAAAATCTACAACCTCCCCGACTTTAACATTGTTGTGAGTTATGAATTCTTCATCTCCCCCCCCCCCCCCGACAGAGACGCACTCTCCGTGACCCTTCGGTCCTTCCTTGTTTAAGTCCTCGTCCGTCTCCTGACTTCCGCCCATTCAGGCCTCCCTCCATCTCTCAGTCCGTGTGCTTTTCCTCTGTTTCCCTTCATGCTTCTTCCACTGTCTCTGCACTGACAATATCCAGGCTAAACCCTTTAAAAATAGCCAACCAACGCCTTTTTAAACCCCCCCTCTCTGCCTCAGACAGGCAAACTCTCTTTTTCTAACACAGACTAATCAAACGAAACCCTTCTTACCAATCCAAAGCAGAAGAAAAAGCTCATTTCTCCCCGGATTTATCCTCAATGTAAAAAGCAGGAGGCTAGTATTTAACTCATTGACTGCCAGCCATTTTCAGAACAGAGTCCCATACTGCCAGAGTTTTTTTAGCATTTTGACTGATTTTTCAAGAGCCACAGAATAGTTTGTGCTATGACTATGTAAACACCGAACACACCAAAAGAAAGAGTAGACTCTCTTCTTTCATCAGGAAAAAAAAATTGTTTCTACCTTATTCCGTTCTTCCTCGACTTGCGTCTCACCGGCGACATGTTCTCTCATAGCGAACCGTTACCTTTTTCTTATTTGCCTACAGTCTATGCTCATCTCCCATCAAAAGTGGCACTGCCACCTAGAGGGTCAATTTGTTAGTACATACTCTGTCTAGAAGCCTGGTATTTACGGACAAGCTTTAGCAGATCGTCCCCCAAGTCACTCTCGTTGAAAAACATAAAAGACGTCTATAGACGTCTTTGGCAGCCAATGAGTTAACAGTCCAGCCAACACGTCCAACAGAAGCCCCCTGAGGAGGAGAGGGGGGGGGGGGGCGGGGGCTACCTGGAGGCCAGCTTGTTCTTCTCCTTGCGGGAGCGGGCCCGGGCCACGGCGGGCAGCTCGTGGACGGGGCCCATACCGTCGATGGCGGCGTTGAGCTTCTGCAGCTGCTCGCCGATGCTGTGCAGCTTCTGGGGGTTGGGGGTCAGGTCGCTGGCGTCCGTCTTGCGCGCTTTGCGCCGGCCTTTCTTCCCTGGACAGAGCAGAGAGAGAGCTCGTCTCGCGCACAGAGACACGCAACCACACACTCACTGTCACTCTTAGGGGCAATTTGGAGAGTCCAATCCACCTGACAACCATGATGACCAGTCTATAGCAGGTCTGTACAGCAGAACCTCTACCTACAATGCCTAAACATAGGAATTTTCATACATACTAAGTGAAATGTTATCAAAAATTCGAAGTAAACTTCCAACATACGACGTCGCAGTCATAGAAAAGTAGGTATAGAATATAAAAATTAGATAAAAATAAATACGCTAGGTTAGTTTAAAGTTCCTGTAGTGAAAGTTAGAGTAGATTAGGGTACGACCTGTATCTCAGTCTCCAGCTCTACCTCCGTTCACCAATAAAAAAAACCTTTTTATTGATTATTTCTTTATAATTTATTCATTTTTCCATCTCTCTTATATAATGCATTCGTTTTATTGCTATGTGTAATTATCTGCAGTATTTCGTAATGAGTTATCGTAGGTTTTTGGGCTGTGGAACCAATTATAGAAATTACAGTGTATTCTGATGGGAATATTTGAACCAACATACGAATATTTTAACATACAAAGTAGGTCCTGGAACCAGATAAATTCGTATGTAGAGGTTCTACTGTACTTCTATGTGTTACCCAAGTTTCTGCCTCTTAAAAGGAAGCTTTTCCTTCCCTGTGTCGCCTAGTGCTTGCTCTTGGTGGGAATTGTTGGGCTTCGGTAAATAACTCTCCCCCCCGCCAGACCAAACGCCCCCTTTTGTCTTTCCTGACAAACATGAGGACATGTAAAGACTCTAAAGCAGTGGTTCTTAACCTGTGATGAGTCGGTCTCAGGGTGTAAAGACACACTGGTGTAAAGCCCCGCTGGGCCGTCACTGTCTGCTGAGGATCAGGTCACATTGCTCGGCCAATCAGCTGCTGGGGAGTTTAGCGCGCAAAGTAGTCAACAGCTGTCGTAGCTGTTCTACGACAGTTGTACTTTCTTAATATTTTAATCCATACTAAATATGTCGAGCAAAAAATAGAAAGTGCTCGGACGAATATGTACAACTTGGATTCACGTGTGTCTCGGACTGGAACACTTCTTATTCTGGCCCCAAAAAAGTATTTTGTGGATTCAAAACGACAAAAAACAAAATAACAAATTAAATTTAAAATAAATTTAAAAAATTAAGTTATTAAAAATGTTTTAATTCTTTAAAAAATTCAAATTTATTTTGCATCCAACAATCCATTATCGTGACCACTTATTCCCCCATTAAGTCGTGGGGGAAATTCATTTTTAATCAGTAAAATAAGTAAAAACATTTTTTAGGGGGGCTGAAATTCTTTAATTGGGCGGAAATATTTTTTTGGGGCCAGAATAAAGTAATACCGTAATTAGTTGTGAGTTCATGCTCTGTGTTGGTTTTGTTCTTGGTGATGTTCATGCATGGCTCATTTTGTAACCAGTAAAAAAAACATATCCCATATCTTGAATTTGGAAAAAATAATCATATTTTATCTATTACTAAAGGGTTCAGTGAATGTGCATCTGAAACTGATGGGCTCGGTACCTCACAAAAGCTTAAGAACCGCTGCTCTAAAGGCTGGATAAGCTCAGGCATCAGATCTCTGATTAGCCCAAAAACGGGACACCGACATAAAAGCTGCCCTCGGGGGTCGGGGGTCGGGGCCCGTCCCCGGGAGGCTGCTGGGGGGCCTCACCCTCGCGGCGGTACAGCGTGCTGGGCAGGGTGCTGGAGCTCCAGGACAGGGACCAGTGCACGTCCCCGGCCAGCTTCCTCTTGGCGGCCGTGTCCCGGCTCCGTCGGTACTCCCAGAAGCAGCGGCGCTTGGCGGGCCGCGCCCCCCCCGGCCGGCGGGCCGGCTCGGCCTCGGCCTCTGGAGGAACACACACAGAGGGATTCCCATCAGCCCCCGGCGGGACACACTGTTAGGAAGGTAAACCCCATGGAGGAGCGTCCATCACCCCCCCCAGGGAGCTCCGTTAGCCCTTCCAGGGCCTTTGCATCTGTCCAGCCAGCTGGTTCTGGGGGGGGTTCAGGTTCAACCCACAGCTTTTCTGTACAGCTCAGGGCCCTCTCTCCATTTCAGGCCCATTGCTGTTTTCCCTCTAAACTCATTTTTTAGGAAACACGTTGTTTTGATTGCTGTGGACTCCAGAAAGATTTGGATGGTGCACAAATACAAAATCTCTTTTTTGTATTTTTTTTTTTAAGACTTTCCATCTTTTGGCACCAGACAACTTCTGTGAACTCGGAACGTTCTGTCCCGGAGTCAAGAGGCTTATCCTGTTCACTGCTCCTAAAAAGCTGGCTGGCTTTTCTCTGGCTGGTGAGCTTCAGATCATTTTAAGAGTAGTTCTACTCCTCTAGTCCGACATGCTCACCATTTGTCCCCTTCATTTTCACCAGGGAAAGTATTTCACGGAGTGGCCAGCAGCCAGAGAGAGGGTTAGGGTTATGGTCAGGGTTAGGGTCAGGGTTAAGGTTAGGACATCATTTGTCTTCTGATTTCGTATAGACAGTAAAGTTTCGTTTCCACCTCAGAATGCTGCTAGTCACATGACCTAATCAAAATGGATGTGAGAGGAGTTGGATATCCAACCGAGGCTCCTAAAGATTTCAGTCAGAGGCTACTCGTCATTCACCAGCCATCAACAGCCTGTCCCCCTTTCAGCTTAGAAACTATCCAATCCCATCTTTGCCATTTGTCTATGCCACACACACACACACACACACAGACACACACACACACACCATTACATAACATTATATAACATAATAGCATTTGGCCATCTGCAGATGACACCATTGTCTGTCTTCCTCCCTCCACTCTTATCTTTTTTCCTCCATGTCTGGCTTGACACACACACACTTTCCAGCCTTCGGACAGGTGGCCGTATCTGATCGGTGCTCTGCAAAACGGCGGTTTGCAGTTGGAACACGACCCAGACGGGTGTGAGCGAAACATGAGACCCGTTGATCTGAAGGGCCGAGAGGCAGAAAGGAGCCGCTTTTAGATCCGTGTTACGTGATCTGAGGAGGCAGGCAGGAGCTCCTCTTTAGCCATTACTTTAGCCACAGGCTTCTCTGAAGGAGTAGCCTGTGGCTGCAGTCTGTAGGAGTAGTTGATATCCAACTCCGCCCACATCCAAGTCGGCCATTTTGATTAGGTCATGTGACTAGCAGCTTTCTGATGTGGAAACGAAACTTTACTGTCTATAGGAAATCAGAAGACAAATGATGTCCTAACCCTAACCCTAACACTCCACGCCCACCCTAAACCTGACCCTAACCCTGACCACAACCCTAACCCTATCCCTGACCCTAACCCTCCACCCCAACCCTTAACCTAACCCTGAACCTGACCCAAACCCTGACCCTAACCCTGTCCGATCCCAGATGAGCATCAGCATCTCCTAACCCACAGGTCTGTGTCCTAATTAGGGTTGTCAAAAGTATCGATACTAAAACGTATCCGGATATGATACTTGTTTTCAAAAGTATCAATACCGTCTCTCATTGTTTACGATCATTTACGTGACGTTAGCCTTGAATTGCTAGCTGCGGCTAATGGCTAACAATAACACGCCAATATTAATGTGGGCCACCGGCCACCATAACATCAGTAATAGCTAAAAGAAATACACTAACCTGTCAAAATTCAGTTCAATTTTGGGGTCTTTGTTTTTATCCTTGTGGCATCAAAATGGTATTAAGTATTTTCCTGAGTATCGGTATCGAGTCGAACATTTTAGTATGGTGACAACCCTAGTACAAACCATTAAGTTGTTATCAGAGTAAATCCAATCAACATGAGTCTTACTACTAAGTAAGGAGGCTAAATAACATTAAACTTTAACACATGCTCTGATAGGCCGGGATCGGATCGGTAGTAACAGCTGGATCGGGACATCCCTACCAGTGTACTCGGCCTGACCTGTAAACAGACCGAGTATCCAAGAAGGGACCAGCTCTTGAACGACCTCACGCCACAGCCTCGACCAATCAGAGAGAGCAGGTCACGCTGGCAGCTCTGCTCACGCTCAATATTCAAATTCTGCTGTAAAGAATATACATTTTTTTCTGCTTTCACCACCAAAGGTTTACTTAAATTCTCGGAATTAGAAGGGCGGCTCCCTCTTTAACGGGGCCTCCATAAAGCCAGGCGACAGATGGATGCGGACTTAGCCCGTTGCAGTCAGAGCAGCTTATCTCTGGTCTCCCGTCTGCTCGCTCTGAAAAGTGGCCGAAACGCCGGTAACCTTAACCGTGAGGAGGGGGGGGGCACCTCGCCATTTACAGCCTCGCTAATCACAACGATGAACAGATCAGATGTTGTGGCCACATTTTGAAAACGGCCGGTGTTCCTAGTCCAGTCTTGGAGTCTGCATCCATCCGTCGCCTGATTGGCCAGGACTTGGGGCCAGCCCTGGCCAATCAGGGCTCAGCAGACCTGGGCTGCTGGCCGGGGGGGTCTCCACACAACGTCCACATTTCCCCTCTGATGCACGATTAACCAAAGCAGACCGCCATAAATCTGTCCCAAAGGCAAAGAAAAGGGGCCTTGAACAAACTCTGCTCTGCTCCCACTCTGTGTGGGCTGGTCGGGGGGGGATTTTCTTACCTATTTAAAGCGCTCTGCATGTGAAAGTGACGTCCAAATAAAGACGGACCCCCGGCTGAGACAGCTGGCCAGCAGCAGCTGATAACAACAAC